TTTTGTGAGGCTTATATTTCCCTGAGGCCTGGAGTTGCCCCAGGACCTACCTAGCCCAAGTATTCATGGCAGTGGGCGCCTCTACTTCCACTGTACAGCAGGAGTCGCCCTTCTGTGCGTCGGAAAGCGAATCGTACTCCTTAAGACGGGTAAATTGTGTCAGCGTGCTTACTACATTCCTTAAATATAAACAGGTTTGTGTTCACTTACTAAATACAAGTATTAGTAATTCATAGTCAGAAAATGAGGTGTTCTAAATAAAATTTGGTTTTGCAGTGACCTGTTTTAAAATATTATGATACACTTTTCTGACTTTAAACATAATACTTTTTTTGGCCTTTGATTGGAATGAAAGTCAAAAATTGTTACGTATAGAGTGACTTTCTTCAAAAATTAAAACACAAAATGTTAAAAAAAAAAAAAAAAAAGAGTAAGGAAGAAAGAAGGAGCAAGGGACTCAAATACTGCTGGCCGGTGGACTAGGAGAGTAGATTCGACCCTGTAGAGGTCACTGGCGGTAGTGATAAAAGCAGTCTCTGAGAAGGTTAGAGCCTGTTGGCAATGAGTTTGAGAGAGAGGAGGAAGGAGGGTTGTGGAGTGAACGGGTACAATCAACTCTTTCAGAGGGAGCAGAGAAGCGGGTCGGCAGCTAGAAAGATCCAGCAGCCAAAGGCGGTTGTTTCGTTAGTTTTAGACAGAGTGACTCCAGCTCTATTTCATACAGCTCCGGATGGACCCCTCTGTTGCAGTCTTCACCACACTTACCTCCCCTGCCCTCTTCATCCCACCGATCCGTCAAAGCCGAGATCACTTCCTACCTCCTGCAGTATCCCAACTGCACAAGATGTCCCCAGGGCGTTGTTTCTACCACGGTGCAACATTTCAAAACATGTTTGCTAGCAGACTTTTGGCTGTGGCGGTGTGCAACTGGGGTCTCTGCAGCCCCCATCGTCAATGTGTATCAGAGCACACTGTGTGTTTATAGTGTAGATCAAAATGACACAATGTTCCCGACAGCTTTCAGAGAGAAGCAGAACTTCTACAGAAACTGTAAAGTTTCTTATTCCTTCAGATCCTGTAAGACAGCAGTCAATAGTAGCAACAAGAATAATAGCTTTCGCTTCCCTTGCTCACTTAAAAAGACATGGCTAGAAGTATCAATTTATACTAAGGGATCACGAACTGGAATTTATTTTTAAAACTAACTGAAAAGCCTCAGCAGTTACCAAAAAAGTTCTCTTTGAAAACATCAGAAATTGAGTGGGAATGGGTAGGTAGGGAGAAGGAGCTTTCTAGTTTAAGACATGGCAAGTTCAGTCAAACTGCACTAAAAAATAAGACTTGTGATTAAAAACACCACTTCCCTCACACCTCCCTCAGAGTAAATCACTGCGAGGAATCCAGGGCACTTTCTTAAGGTTCTTCCT